CCAGCTCCTTTTGTACTGTTGTAAGTTCATTTAACAAATTCTGCTGCACTTCCTGATAATGCGCGTGTCCACTGTTTATATACACATAAGTTTCAAGCCCATTAATAATAGCTGCTCCTTGGTTTTTTTAAACCTATAACCAAAGTTGTCGCCTTATGCTTACATCTTAATTTTATGGCTATGGTATGGTATTTTGCCGTTTGGGGAAAAAGTTTTAAAAAATGAAAAAATATAACAAAATAAAACCACAATAAAGCAACAACAAAGCATATTAAAGCAAAATAGATCCTCTCCGCATTTTATTTCTTGCATGAATTTCTACATGGAGATAAAGCTTTTAGAAGCAGCTTGAGTATTAGCGTGTTAGGAATTAGTTGCTGCCGACGTTTTTCTCTTTCAAAAGTTGCGCAGAAGTAAGGTGATGAGGATTTCAATTGCCTGGCGGGTGCCAACACCAATATCAAAACGGATTAGAAGATTATAGAAAAAAAAAGATTGGTCTTTAAACTGGGAAATTAATCGAGAAATCGTTAATACTTCCCTCTACACTACTTCAGTAATCGTTAATACTATACATAATCTCAAAATCAAAAACCAAAGCTCCTCTCATATTTCATCCTCTCTGAGAATTTTGGACACGAAAAGTAATTAATATAGCTGCAAAAAAATCAGACCCAAGACTGAGCAATGATTTTTCACGTTAAAGGATATTTTGGTACTTGATAAAAGCTGTTCACCCTGCTCTTTTTCTTCTATTTAACTCCAAACCAATTAAACTTTTTCAATGGACAGATTCTTGAGTCTTTTGAAAAAAGTTGCGCAATATGCTTTCTTCATCTGCTCACCTTTTCCTGCATAAATTTTGCAGCGCAGCTCAATTTATGTTGGTATAAGCTAATTTAACATATTCTGCTGTACTTCTCGATAATGCGCTTACGCACTGTTTATATACACATAAGTTTCACATCCATTAATAATAGCTGCTCACTGCATTTCAGGGTAAACCTAAAATGAAATTTATCGCCTTATGCTTACATCTTACTTTTATGCAGTCTGCATCTGCTGCTCCTCATGGTAATAAAAGTGTGGTGGAATTGCCTCAAGCCCATGTTAGTTCTTTGTTTATTATGGAAACTGACTGGTCTCTGTGACATGTCCAAAAAATAAATAAAAACGATTGCTTTCGCTTGTATATTTTGAGAGGCGTATCGTGAAATTAGTGATATTTTAAATTTATTTTGCCTTCATCCACTCTATTTTATGCGCATACTTTTGAATAGTATCAAATATGCCAAAGTTCGAGCAAATTGGTGTAGGTATTCCATGTTTGTGATTTTATTTGAGTACTCCTACGCGCTGCCCGCAGCTACGTCAAGATCTTTTGTGTTAATGATCAATTATTACTGGAGTGCAAAATTAATGTTTGAAATCAAATGCTAAGCATTCCTAATGACTGCTGAAAAAACCTCTTTGTTCTTTACTACTTTTAAATTCTACGATTTTGTTTTCGGAGAAGCTATAAGCCTGGCATTTCTATCAGAACAGCAAAACTCAATTATTCAGTTTTAGGCAGTAGTACAGGCTTCTACGAAAGATGAGTACGGTTCTCAAGAATGTGGTGACTATATGTGTATGAAACCAGGGGTCAGTTCAAATCTAAAGTTTTTCACGATTTTTTTAGTTATTTTTTTTAGCGAGTTA